CGTAACAGTCTTCTGATATTACATGTTTTTTACGCGTGGTCCTGTACAATTTCGCACGAGCCTCCTCTCTGTTCAGGATGCGGGATTAGCGTATAGAGTCGAGTACAGTAGCATCTTGATATAGCTAGTCCTGTATTGTCGTTACAAAATGGCGGGCCGGGGTACGCTTCCGGCGGTCATCCCGCGGATTCTTCTTTTCAAAGGTTTTCACACCGGATCGACGAAGTGTTTGCTCAAATTTCGCCGCGGGAGACACGCCGGAGGCCGAACCCCGCGCCGCCATTTTGCGGATGTAACTCGAGAATCGGGTATTGCCTGCCGATACATTTATTATGTCGGGATTACGCTTCCTGAGTCGGCTTCACCTAGCATTAATAGACATCCTAGAAACTAGATTTCGCGGGGCGACGCGACACGTGGGATCCACTGATCGGTTTCTCATCTTTTTGGCCTTCCTCGAACTTCGGGATACAACTGGGTTCGTTCGGGCAGCAATTTTAAATATTCAAAATACATACCTCTTTAGAAGGTAACATTTCAGTTAATTGAAATTGATATTCATAAGAAAGAAAGCATTTCGGAAGCACAATTTTGAATATCTTACGTCATTTCATGTTCTAATGCCACTTTGAGAATGGATTTAAAAATCGATAAATGGGGGAATTTACAAATGGTCAATTTACACTAGAAGTTAGTCTAACAGAGACATTACGGGATGACCTAATCTTTGTCAAATTGATAAACATCCGAACGAACCTAGACGCACCATTCTTAGACCCGTGTGGGTGACTTAGTTTCCAGTTAAAGACGACTCCTCATGATAGAACCTCAAACGGAACAGGTTCGATTTAGGCCCACGCGAGTGTTAAATGGTGATTCGTGGATCTCTCGTTCCTCGTCGTCTCCGTGGGGGCGCATCTTGGTGAGTCTTCGGACCGTGAGATAAATGTATCGGTCGAGGGCGTCGAAACGTTCCTTGTATCTGATCGGATCGCCGAAAACCGATCGACAATGGACTCCCGGAGGCTGTTCGATCGTCGGAGCCTTTCGACGTCCTCGGCCATCGCGCTGATTCCTTTTTTTTTAAAGTACGATAGAGCTCCGTTTTTAGGAACGCGATGGAGGCAAATTTGGTTGCTTCGACGGTCGTTCGTTTCTTTTAGCGAATTATCGGACCGTTGAGTTTGGCAAGGGTGAACGACTGTTCGGTTCGAGCGATTTAGGTTGCCGGTGAACAACGATCACGGTTCTTTGGGGTCCTGTTCCAATAGACGGAGCTCTATTGTACTGTTATCATAGATGGCTGCGGCCTGTACGGTAAGATGCGCCTACTCGATGGACGAGATACATTGAATGAGCGATGTTATGCGTCGATGGGCCAAGCGACCTGGTTACCCCGCCCGTGTCCGTGAACATGGCCAAATAAAGGAGCATTCTGTTCGAATTCTCGTTTGCGTTTTAATACGTTCATTGAACTGCTTGTTAGCCAAACTGGTTCACTCCAATTCTTGAATCCTTTAAAATTTCACCGTCAAAATATTCGATTGGTTCACTTTTTATATTTAAAATGAGTTTCCTTGCTACTGGGCTTAGTGTCATAGAGTAACATTCTTTCGGCCGAAAGTTGCAATAATAAAGAAGGCTGCTTAAGGATATACTACTTTACACATTTTACATATTTATGTTAAAGCAATGATTTTTAATTTCAAGGAAAACTTTTGAATAATAAGTGCGTACTACTTTACTTTGTTCCATTGTTTCGCGGAGTGAACTGATTTCGCCAGTGAGCGGTTCGATTGGAAGGACGAGTTGAACAGTTTTTACACTAATGTCCGCATGCTAACCGAATAGACTTGGTAACAGCAATTAACTGCATTCATTTCTAGCGTGTAAGATGTGATTAGAATTTCGGCAGCTGTTTAAGACGAGAACGTTGGATCCTCGGGAGTGATTCAAGTGTCGCTTACCACATCGCCACGTAAGATCGTTCAGTTGTGTACTACCTACCATTGGCTTTCGCTGGGCACTCACACGAGCCGTATTATACACGTATCCCACAGGCTATCAAGGGAGAGAAAGGGGAAGAGTGTGTGCGTGCGTGTGGCTAGGGGACGAGAGAACGGGAGAAAGGAGGAGAGCGATCAGTGGACTGCGGATCTTTACGCGAATTCGAATTTATAATAGTGTAATTAAACAGAATCGAATTGAAAATGATATTTTCTAAAACTACACTTTGAACATGTTATATATTATATCCTCCTGAATTCCGTGCAGTTTCGCAAATTTCCCATAAACGCATAAAAACCCGCAGTCCGCTGGTCGCAGTAGCAATTTTTGAATTAGTACACTATTATATTATCTCGTCCTCCGTACTAACCCCAAAAGTATCGCTGATCGGAAGTGATGGCCAT